CTCCAAGCTGTGTTCGTAATTACATCAAATTGGTAAGGAGGACATGATATAGATATAGACTACACCAGGTAAACTTTAACCCTCTCGTGCCTACCTTCTTAAAGAGCACGTTACTCATGAGCTTCTCAGACAGTTGCACCTATATATTTCACATAATGGGAAATGGATTAAATTGTGAAATCTGAGTCACATATCAACAAACAAAGAAATAAATTTTTATCTATGATTTTACCTTATAAGCACATAAATCAGAAGTGACATCAATTGTTTCTTCGATTTGAGGAGCATAAACATGAGGGCAAACATGTTTCAAGCAGTGTTGCTTCAAATGTTCCGTGGCCTCAGCTGTTCCATGAACCAAAACCTCCACCCAAAAAAAGTATATACCATAATCATAAGGTCACATTAATGAATTACTAGAGTAGAACCTACATCCAAAATAAATCACTTCACTGCAAAAAGGAAAGACAAAAAAACAAATAAGCAGACTTACAAGCTTTAGAGGAGCCATATGAGAAAGAATTGATTTGATGGATCTCGCGTCAGAACGGCCCTCAAAGTCCATATAAATTAATGAACACTTCACTTGAACCTGAATTAGACAAAGAAAAAAACAAAACAAAAGTACAACTTAGTTTAGTGAACAACAAGATTGGTACAACTATAAACTAATTTAGCAGACTTCTACTTACGGTCAATTCAGTTGCTACAACTTTTGAAGGTCTTGTGTCAAGTATCAAACTAGCAGAACCCTCATCAAGCTTTCCATCCATATCACCACCAACCTGAGATGATGAAATTTTAAAACAGAAGCATCATGGTATGTACAAATATCTGTTCTACGAGCTGAGAACAATTTGGCATAGTGGAGCAGAGAAAATGTTCCTGCCCAGAATATGGCTAGCATGCCCTGGAGAATCGGGATCCCTGTTAGGGTTTTGGTTTAACCTTCCAGCATCACTATCACAAACCAAGTGAGAAGCTAAATAACTCAGATTTACAAGAACCATAATCAAAGAATCTGATATTTCAAGATAAAAACTTACATGCACAGCTCCTTGGTCCATGTCTGCATCCTTTATTACATAATCATCCGGATTTATGACTTCACCAAAGTCATCCCAGTCAGAATTATTTTCATAGAAGGGAAACATAGGGGCAGCACTGGTAGAAGGGGGAGTGAATCCATCTATTAGCATGTCCCGGTACCCACCACCGTGTGGACCTGCTGCTGCAACAAACAATTACAAAAGTTCATTATATACACTATAGATGAGATATAGTGTGCGTACTTTAAAATTTTAAATGATCCATAGGAAAAATATAGCCTCAATGCACAGGATCTATCATCTCATCAATCTTCAAAAAGAAAATCAAGAGAAAATTGTGGAACTACACAATGATAAAACCGATCCTAGAGAACAATGAAACAATACACTTTAGCAGCTTTATCGCTTAGTAACGAAGAATCATCTTACAATAATTGCATAAATTGGTATTAAAAAAAAAAAAAAAAAGGGGATATTTCTTTTTAAACTCCCCCACAAAAAAATTTTTATAAAATAT